TCAGAACATTAAACTTATTTTAGAAGTGATTCAACAAGAAATACCTTAAAGAGATTTGTCAAGGGTAAAGCAAAGGCATCAAGAACAAGTTTGATCTCTGTCCATAATTCATTTGACTTAAATTCATGGCGGTACCTGACAAGTGAAACACATGAAAAACAGAATTCATATTTCACATTTATTACCAAATTAACTTACCCAGAATTATTTGTTCTTTGTGCTGAACTTTGAAACAAGTAAACAAGAACTAAACAACACAGTTCAAAACCAGGCAAGGTGCACAATTTGATAGCCACTTAAAGGCATATGCTGAAGTCACAACTGTAGAGTTTATACATCTCCAACGTTAAGTCTGAGAGCTGAACAGAAAGTTTACAATCCATCCACAATCCCCCTTATTCCCAGCACCTTTTGAATAAGGAGTGAGCGGTGCGAAGAACACCGTTGATGACGTGGAAGTCCCCGCTCTGGAAGCGATTCACCATCTCTGTCAGCAGGTCTGGCCACTTCTGAGGAAAGTCTTCCCGACCAATAATACTAATGGCATCACTTAACTGGAAAGGGAATGCAGCTGTTACGTGGCAGAACAGCATAGGAACCACAGCAGTGCCACCTGCTGCAAACATCCCAGAAAATGCTGCTTGTTTTTGTCAGATTCAAAAACCATTGGGTTAAATATCTACTACTTTCCACCACAAATACAAAAATCTCCCTTTAAGTTCAGTGTCTACACACAGTCTCACTTTCTAGAATTACTGTTCAACTGCCTAATGCTAGAACTTACTATAAGATTACACAGTAATTATCTTTAAAAAATACTAAGATAGGTAAAAGCAGCTATAACACAATACTCCAAGTTATTTAGATCAGCATGAGCTCACTGGTAAGAGAACTGAGGTCTGCAAATAACCAAAGCCTCTAGACATGCTTAGAATATTCCCAAAGTCTCATGGATATAACCTGGAATTGGCACGTTACCTGCTTTTGAATTTGTTCTGGGCTGCTGAGCATCAAGGGCACTATGTTGGCTTTAATGGCTATCCTGTCTGATTCACATATTTTGTTTGGTTCATCCTCAACCTAAAATGAAAACAATAATTGGGTCATGAGCATATTCAGTATACTCCAGGCAATGAGTGATGATCAGCATTTCAGAAACCAACTGCTCATACTGATTTATGTAACTATTATGTTGCTGAAGAACCGAAGAACCAGACCTGTTAGAGACACAGCCTGCAGTGAATGTGGAACAGCAGCACCTGAGAAAAGCTGAAAGAAATTATGTATTTCTGTAAAACTTTGCAATAGTTTTTTCCAACTGTCCTAGGCAAGCTCCAAGCAGGGAGGCAGGACTCACTGCTAGGCATTTAGGGAGGTGCTGGAGTGACCACCAACAGCAATTCCTCCTAAGGAATTACTGAGGAGATTTCTCAAAGAAATGAAACGTTTTTAAAAGAAACGAAAGGCAGCAGACAGTACACACTGTGTACATACTTCAGAAATCAATTAAACCCAGCAAGCTCTTCTCTGGCTCCAGCAGGGCCCTGAACATCTGCCTCTCCAGGACTGAACAAACTTGAACAGGCAAAACCCTTTTACTGAGCTTTGGATCACCAAGGCTGCGGAATTAAACCCCGGGATCGAGGCAAGCCAGGCCTGCGGCTGCATTTTCTGTTCAGACAGCTGCTCCTGAAACAAAAGCTGCAACTTTGGACAGAACAATGTGCTTGAAGCCACAGAGCAATCGGAACAGCCCTCGGGATGCACTCCCTGCACAGCATCTCCACCTACTTCAGAACAAAATCCCATCCTGAATTACATCAGCAGTCCATAAAAAGAAGCCACTTACAAATTCTTCCCTAACAGAACGTTACTTCTACTTAAAATACACCACAGAAGATGCAGTTTGGGAGAAATGACTAAGAACACAGCATCACAGAGAGAAAGTTCTAGAAATGTCATGGCAGACTGAATTGTGCTCACGTTATTGAGCACAACCAGACCCAGGACTGCTGCAGCTCCTCACTGCTGGTGTGAGGGAGAGGGCAGAAACCACATGCCCATTTGAAAATAGCTACCAGCTAAGATGTAATGATAAAACATTTCAGTTTCTCTGTAGTAAAGAAACACCTGCTATTTTTCAGATACATAAAAACAAGACTTTCAGTGAAGTACAAGCAGCATCAATTAAAACCTCTCATCACTCGTGAAGTTCAGCTCTCAGTGCAAGACTTTGTACCACTAAATAAGTTTCATGAATGCTGAAAGCTCAGAATCAAAAACATTTCTGTCCTCCTCAAAACAAATGATAAGATGGGATTAAACAGCAATACTTCTATTTGATCACAACAAATACTTCCAGGTGTTAAATTGGCAGGGCACCAAAACAACATCCCCCCCAGACAATTCTGTGCCCCAGCAGAGAAGAGAAGCTGAGACCATCCCCTTGAGCTGCAGGGCAGGCTGGGGACATTTGTAACACCCTGACAACAGATACAGGCACAGTGGGCCAGCTCGTGTGAAGACACACTTCATAATCATCCCAGTTTAAATAATGTTAGTTAAATGAGCTTTAAATACTGTGTTTCTGTAAAATATTCATATAATATTAGAGAAAAATATTTGTTCATCATTTCATCACCCAGCTCCAGTTTTGTTTTAATAGAATTGACTCCAACAGCCCAGGTTTTAGTCCATTCTTACTAAGTTACACCTTGACCTCGTTCTCTGAACTCTGCCTTTCCCAGAGCACAGACACACACACTGCTCAGGGTTTCTGTAGAGGATCTTACTGCACCCTCAAGGGATGATCAGGTCTTAGCACAACTACTCACTAGGATACCTACAATTCTCCAGTTCCTTTTAATGTAATTCTTGAACGTTACAGATGCACAAACTTTGATGACATTTTCCTGTGATTTCTCCAGCAGCGTTAAGAGTAACAACGGATAGTTCTGGCTTCCTTCCACGGACTCGAGGAACTTCTCAGCTGCAAGGGAATACAAAGGGGGTCAGCAAAAGCTGCTTTCTCTAAAGGGAGTCCTGCCATTCCTCAAATGTCTGTTTAAAATGATCAACACACAAACACTTCCCCAGAGCTTCACAGGAACCAGCCTGACAAGAGGTACCGCAGCTTCTCTGCTGCTGAGCCCTTCCACACTCCTGCCACCACCAGCAGCTCTCAGTTCCCTGCAGGATGGAGAAACACTGCCTCCTCACCACTTGGAAAAGCCATAAGCCAAGAGAAGTCAATCTTGGCTTATTGTGAACAGCAGCACTGTTTTAAATAACAATGGTACCCCCCCCCCCAAAAATATCAAAAATACAGAAAAATAAAAATCACAAAAAGCAAATAAAATTATATCTATCCTTCATCTTTTTCTTTGGGGGGGAGTGGTTGTTTTAAAAGGATACCAAGAATTTCTGCAAAGAGCTTATTGCATAAACATCCACAAGTTGGCTACACACAGACAGAAGAGCCAAAACCAAATTGAACTTTTTTGGTCACTCGTGAGAATCACTTACCAGGACGCCTTATAGCAGGATCTGGATCTAGTGTTTTCTTTAGATACTCAGTTAAAGTTTGTAAATTGGCATCACTCAGCTCCATTTTTGGCAGAACCTAAAACCCACAAGCAGCTTTGTTACAAGCAGAGATCAGAAAACCTGTCCTAAAGCTACACATGTAAAAGCAGATCCCATAGAAGCCACACGTCAGCTCTTCCTGATGACACCTCACCAGCAGAGTCCCAGCCAGTGAAAGAGCCACCATGCACAGGAATGATCCCACTTCTCCAGCTACAGGTGAGTGCCTGGGTTAGGGACCCCAAACTCCAGAAGAGGCTCACACAGCCAGCAAACATGAGCCAGGTCCAGCCAAAAGTTCATCTCCTGCCCATTCAGGATATCAGGAGTTTGGGTTGTTTTTTCAGAGCCGCTCTCAGCTCAGGAATCCGCTCCTGGTTGAAAAAGGTGAATACTCCTGCCCTACATAACTGTAAATAAAACAATTCAAACACTCAAAGAGTTGAGTCTGTTTAAAAACCCAATACTCATTATCAAAGAAAAATGTCAAAAGAAAATACTTTTCTACAAAGAGACAAAAGACTGTGCAAAGCCAGAGCGTCTGTGCCCCCTGTAAAATTAGCTCAGACCAGGGTGGAAGCTAATTCAAATGCAATACTTATTACAGAGTAACTCTGTGCAGTAAGTCCATAGTGCTCCTCTCCAGTAATCCTCCCACGCACATTCCCATGTGTACCACAGCGATATATTTACTTCACAGCTTTAATTGGAATAATTAATATTACAGTAACACTCCAACAGCAAGTTGTGCTTTAATGGGCACGCTGTTGCTCAGGACACCACCATCAACCCTGCCTGACCTTCCTGCCACCAACAGCACAGTTAGTTCACTGTCTACAAATGTAACGAGGAAACAAAGATTTCCAGTTTTGCCCTGGAGTTTCTGATTAGTAAGATTGACTGAAATCCACCTGTCCTATTTTGGAGTTGGTTTATGCTGATGATCGATGCAATAAATACTGTTTTATTCAACCACACTTGCAGAGGCAGTGAGCTTTACTGACACAGTTTTTACATCAGCTATGGCACTTATGGAATTTAAAAAGACAGCAACAGTATCCTATTGATTTAAATTAATATTAATGAGGGATTCAGATTCCAATACATATTGTACGAAGTTAATTCTCCCCTTGAGCGTCCTGCCTCCCATTTCCCTTTCTTCTGGGGGTTTACTTGTGCATAGTGTTGTACATGAATTCACATCCACCAGCATATTTTGACCTGCTACCTACGTACACTTTTTTCTATCTCTTCCCTAGCTCTTCATGTTTGTTTTCCCCTACAAAACACGCTGGTGGCACTTTAGCTGGAGTGGTACAATGCTCTGTGTTACGTTATGACACGTGCCTGCAGAAAAGGCCTCGAGAACCCCTAAAATGTGCTTAACGCATCACCCACTTCGGTCAAATGAACGCCGAGCCCTGGCGGAGAACAACCGCCCAGCCGGGCCGAGAGCGGCCCTGCCCGGGGATCGCACCGGGAAGGGCTCCCGTGCCGAGGCTGTGCCGGGAACGTCCCGGCCCCGCTCCGAGGGTCCCGCGGGCACTTCCCGCTGCCCGCCCGGCAGAAGCGGGAGCGGCCGCGCCGCCTTCCCGCGGGACGAGGCGGTGCCGGGGCGGGCGGGACCGGCCCCGCCAGGCCGCTCAGCCGCGGGTGGGTCGGGGCCGCTCCGTCAGACCTGCCGCCGCCCGGCAGGCAGGCCCCGCAGGCAGGCCCCGCAGGCCGGCCCCACAGGCTGGCCCCGGGCAGGGAGGACCCGCAGGCCGGTCCCACGGGCCGGCTCCGGGCCGTGCGGGGGCGGCGGGACCGGGCGGCCCCCGAGCCCTCACACTACCCCGCTCCCCTCCCCCTCCCGCCACCCCGGACTGGCAGCGGCCGCAGCCAATGAGGGGCGCGGGCCGTGCAGGCCCAGCGGCCGCAGCCAATGGCGAGCGGCGGGGGGCGGGCCGAAGGGCCCAGCAGGGTGTGCTGCGCCTGTGGCCGACCCGCGGGCCCAGCGCCCAGCGCGGCGCGGGGCGCAGTTGGCGCGGGGGCGGCCGCGGGGCCGCGGGCGCGCGGGGCCACTCCAGCCCCAGCCCCAGCCGCGGGCGGCCCGGCCCGGCCCGGCCCGGCCTCACCTGGCGGGTCCCCCCGGCGGCGGCGGCGGCTCCGAGCGCTCCGGCTGCGCTTCACATTCAAACCGCGGGGCGGGGGCGCGGCGGCGGCTCCGTGACCGCATCGCGCGGGGCGGGGACTCCGCGCGGCCACCCGGCCAATCAGCGGCCGCACTGGCCCCGGGCGCGCCGCCCTCAGCCAATCCGAGCCGCGCACCCGCCGCCCGCCAATGGCTGCGCCCTTCCCACAGCGCCCCGCGGCAACGCGCGGAGCCGACACGGCCCGGGCCGCGCTGGGAGGGGGAGCGGGACGGGGAAATGGGGTAGGGATGTGGGGTGTAGGACACGGGGAATAGGGACATGGGACAGGGAGAGAGCGGGACACAGGGTGCGGGATACAGGGGACAGGGACACAGGATATGGGACAGTATAGGATAAGGACGAGGTATGGGATAGGGACACGGGATAGGGGGCGCAGAGAGAGGGGGACATGGGGTATGGGATATAGGATAGGGACACGGGATAGTGATATGGAATAGGGACATGGAGAGAGCGGGACACGGTGGGAGGAAGGAAGGCGCGGCGGGTACAAACCCCCAACCCTCCGACCCCGCAGCGAACCCCCGGAGGCTCCACAGCCTCTGAGCCCCTTCAGGAACTACAGGAGCAAAGCAGCAACGCTTCGTAAAACTTTATTGATTTATCACTTGATTAAAGCATGGAATATTATAACTACTATACATCATATTTTCATGTAGAAAACTTTACATAGGTTTTCATATTATATAATTTTGGTATTCTGTCAAAACTCTATACATCCATTGGCAAGAAATGCTCTTCTTTAAATTATTGATAGTAAATGCACTTAATATGGAGATATTAAAAAAACTTAGGCATTTTAAATATGTGAAAACATACATTTTACACAAATAAAGGTGCTGGACAAACTGAATTTACAGATTAAAGGGAACTGCACTTTTTGATAAGAGTTACTATTTTTATTCTTTCTCCCTCTGAATAGTAAGACCGAGCTAAAATCTGGGGCGTGTGGGTTGTAGCGGACATTGAGATTGCTCTGTTTACAGTTTGGAAAGTGAGACAGGAGACGTGGATAACAAACTGCCGTAAAAACCACTTTTTTCCTGGACTGTAAGACAACAGAATCACCATGAAAAGGGAGTTTCAGGGTTTCCCTCGTTAAATCCTCCCCCGCTCCCTCCCCAGGGGATCTGGAATGAGACAACAGCAATGACCGAGGAGTCTCTGTGTTAGAGCAGGTACAGAACCCTTGGAAGCACCGCAAGTCCAGGAGGTGCCGTTCTCAGCCCGTGTATTGCACAGTCCCGCTGTCCACGTGGGGCCGGTCCCGCTCCCACCGGAGCCAACAAACCCGCGTGGCAGCAGAGGAGGGAGAGGGAACAAACCGGGAGGGCTGAGCTCCACGGGGGGGTCTGGGGGTTCTGCCCTCCCTGACTCTGAGGAAAACCAACGAGTGCCGTGGACACAACCTGCACACACCCTGCTCGCTGCTCTGACAGGGACAACGACCCCAGACACGGGACAGGATTGAGGTTCTGCCCATCCCATTGCATCCCAGTCCCCTCCTTCACGCACTGCAGAGTCTGGGATGGCTGGATGTCACAGACCCCACACTGCAGCAGTTTGTAACAGGTGGGAATGCAACAAAAGCTTTTCTTAGGAAAAGAACAGCCTCAGACCAAAGGCTGAAAGGAAGGATGGATTAAACATCCTTATCCTACATGCAGAGAGTGCAAATGCTGCCCCTTAGAGTAAAGAAAGCCCACAAAGCAGCTGTGAAGTCATTTAAGATCTCAAAGTTGAGACTTTTCAAGACATGACTGCAGGGCTTTGAAACCTGTGACACACGGAGGAAGGTGCAGCTGGGCCTGTTTTGTGCCTGATGGGACACAAGGGAATACATTCCATGAGGCAGTGACACATTCCACATCTGAAAAATAACCATTCCAATATTTTCTTTAGGACTACCTAGGACCGGGACAGAAGGAACAGCATATTCTTACAGATTTAAATAGAATTCAAATAAATACTTCATTTTCTGCAGTAACCAATGCAGTGACATTCCCAGGGAATGAGCAGCTACATGAGATGCAACACAAAAGGACATTTCAAACGCAAGTTAAATACCAGAATTGCTTATTTTCAGTCTTTTGCTATTGTCATATATAGCCATATATTGCCTTTTACTAAAAAGCAGATTTAACCTAATGGGCATTTAAAAGTCCAAGAGCCACAACCACCATTTATTTTTCTTTGGTTAAAAATAAAAGTTAAAAATAAATTGTGAAAGCCTTGTCACTACCACTGACTGCAAAACCTTTCCCAAACAATGCTTACACGTAGGACAAGCTGATGAACTGAGGAGCACCATAGGAACCCTTTGGAAATAGCTCACAAAAAAAAAAAAAAAAAAAAAAAAAAAAAAAAAAAAAAAAAAAAAAAAAAAAAAAAAAAAAAAAAAAAAAAAAAAAAAAAAAAAAAAAAAAAAAAAAAAAAAAAAAAAAAAAAAAAAAAAAAAAAAAAAAAAAC